CATAATGGTCTCTTACGCTTTTATTATATAGATTAAGTATATAAAAACAGGATATTAAAAATAAAGATAAGTATTATAAACAAAATAGCAATCATAGTTAAAATGTTTTCTCCATTATCTAGGACATTTACCTAAATAATATAAAGTTACTGAATTTAAATCTAAATCCTTCAAAATGATGAAACCATATTAGTAGGACAGAAGGACAGGAATTATGTTTAGAGTCGGGGAAAGTGGTCTTAAGGAGGGAAAAAAGAGCTATTTCTCAAACGAAGTAACCGGGGATGATATTTCTCCTCCTAGCTGAAACAATTAAAAAAAAAAAAAAAAGAAAGAAAGAAAGAAAAGAAAATATATGGTGGAAATGCTTTTTAATACACTAAACATAAGCAATGAACAACACTGATTCCTGAGAGCTGGGAAATAAATGAAGTAAGGCCCTGCTTACTATGGAGAGAGTGTTTCCAGGCCATGACCCAGAAAGCAGGAACCTGGATCCTACGGGACATCCTGATTGAGAAGGCAGGGCTGGGAGACTAGGGAGGCCAAAACAGCCAGTTTTCAGGCCAGAATTCTAAAGAAGAGAAAGAGTGGAGAGACCTGCAGGTATCTGCAGAAAGTCCCCCTGGAGCTTTCTCCCCACGTATGTGAGAAAACTATCCAAGTCAGGCAAAGAACTATGGGAAATCCACAAAGCTAACACAGGGTTAGTTCTATTTTCTCCTACCCAGAGTGGAAACCTTCTATATAATTCATGGGCATCAGGTATAGTACTCACAGCATTTCGCCTCAATAGTGGCAAAAAATTAGCCCTAGAATAAATACTATCATGGTCTCTCCTAATGTGGATTAAAATAAAAATTCAAATGAATCAAACTGTTTTCAAATAATTTAACTGCATTCCAAAACAAAGTTCCAAAATACAAAGTGTTGTATTTAAAGGAATACAAAGATAAAATAACAACGTCTAGCATCCAGAGACACAATTCAGAGATGGAAGATGCTGACGACGCCTCAGCATACCAGCAGACAGCAGCCGTGGGTTACTGAAGGATACTCAGGACCAAACCAGAGACAGGCGGACCTGCATTACTGCCATTTGTCCACCAACCAGATCTGAAATAGCATGGCTATAAGGAACTATCTGGCATTGAAATTGGGACTCAAAAGAACTGTTGGCCCAGAAAGGAACTCACTACAGACTGATTCATTTGCCTCTCAGCATAACCATTATGGCTTGTTGCAGTTTAAGTTCTTGCAAGGGTATTTCTTGGATCACATGATCTCACACATCTAGAGGAAATAATGAACAACAGAAACAGACCCAGAGAAAGAGAACCAGCGATCAGACTCTCAAACCTCAGAGGGAAAATAAGGGGGATGGGGGTAAGGGGAAGAGATCAACCAAAGGATTTGTGTGCATACATATGGGCCTAGCCAGTGGCCATGGACAATTGGGGAGGGGGGCCATCTCTAGGGAGGGGTTTGGGATGGGAATGGGGGAATAAGGACAATTATGTGAGACCATAATCAATTAAAAAAAATTTCCAGATATACAAAGAAATAGTTAAATATGACTAATGAAGGGAATAAAACCAACCAACAAAGTGAAAATGACACAAGATAAAAATTAATAAACAGTAGTGTTAAAAGAATTATTATTCTATGTCATATGTTAAGGGCATCTATGGAGAATTTACAGCTAACATCATACTTAATAATGCAGGAAGTCTGCTGTTACTACTTCTGTTTGAAACTGTACTGATGATATTTTAGCCAATACAATGAGGCAGATAAAAGTAGGACATTCATATTGGAAAAAAAACAGCCTTTCTTCACAGATGTTGTGATTATCTATGTAGAAATTCCTATAGAAACTGCCAAAAAAAAAATGCTCTAATTAATAAGTACATTTAGAAAAGTTGTAGGAGCTCAAATATATACATATCAATTTTTTCTGTATGATAGCAACAAACAAATTGAAATTAAAAACAATACAATTTACAATAGCAACGAAAATTACTAAATATGTATGGTTCAATTTGACAGAGACGTGCGAAACCTGTATACTAAAAAATACAAGTATTTCTGAAAGAAATTAAGAAAAACCCAAATTGATCTATAGATTCAATGCTATCTCAATCAAAATCCCAAAGATATTTTATAGAAATTGGAAACTTGATTCCAAAATTCACAAATGGAAAAATGTTGTCTTGAACTTCATCAACATTAAGAACGTTTGATCCTCCAAAGCTATTTTTAAGGTATAAAGAGACAAGTCCTAGATAGTACATATTTCACAAAAGCCTCCTACCCAAATTGCACGCTTTAAACATGTGTAGTACATTGTGTCACTTATATCTTTAAAACTTTTTTTTAAAAGCTGTTTCTCTTCCATAGTGGGATGTTTATAATAATATCGATATATAAAACTGAAACATCAAGAATTAGAAATATTAGCAGGTAGGTTAAGGATATGACATTTAAATGCCAAAAGAATCAGCTAAAAGTTAAAAATGTTTTTTCTAGAGTAACTACTTGGGGAATGGGGTAGAACTGACATAAAGGACTTTTGTTTTTCATATAACACCTTTTAGAAGTTTGCTGTTAGATTATGCACATACTATATTACTTGGATGAAACTACATACTGCATCTAAAAGAGGCTAAGTAAGTAAAAGAACATCTTAATCATAGGACAGGTCTATGCAAGCTCACTTATCTGAGTATTTAATGTACTAAAGTTGGAATGAAGAGGATTTCAATTTATTCCTATTAGGGATTAAACTTTGTTGACTTTTATTTAATAATTTAGGGACTTTTTCCACTATGTGTTGTTATTATAGAGCTGTCAAAGTGGTAAAATTCCAAAATATTTATCCTGAAAGGCAGGCCAAAATGATTCCCTTTTAAAACTTGTAAAGATTAATTAAGGTTATGTGTCGTTATTTTCTGTACTTGATTGATTCAGGATTACTTGTACTCTATAAATGTGCTGAATTATTTACACATCCTGGGCAGCTAATGCTAATTCAGAACATGCCCAGTGGGACCTCGGAGCCCTGCAATGCTAAATGTAATCTGGGGATCAGTAACATTCCATTCATAAAATGCATCACCCACAGGTTAATGGAAATAGACAACAGGCAAGACAATGAGTGGATTATGCAAATGCACTGAAAAGATTTAAGCAAGGGGAGGGGACAACAAGAACCCAATTTGTGTTTTATTTAAACTTGGATTAAGGTTTATGGTATACAAAATGATTAAAGCCACTTTGCTAATTTGCTAATGCTCTACGAAGCCCCACTACACAGGGAAAACTATCAAAATAGACTGGCCCTGGCTTTTTGTGTGTGTGTAGGAGAGGCTGATAGGATGCAAAGGGATAAGATTAAGTGAAGGAAACTTTCAACATGAAATGAACAGCATTCTGAAGAAAAAATTTGAGTGATTAGATTTACAAGACATTTATTTGCATTTATCTAAGACAAAAGTTTCATGAAACTACAACTCAGGCTTTATATTCAACTACTGCTTTGTAAGAAATCTTTCTTTTTCTTCTTCATTCAAATTCGGTCCTATAAAACAAATTCAAGCCCAAACCGGATTGGCTCAGTGGATAGAGCGTGGGCCTGCAGATTGAAAGGTCCCGGGTTCGATTCCAGTCAAAGGCATGTACCTTGGTTGCCGGCACATTCCCAGTGGGGGGTATGCAAGAGGCAGCTGATCGATGATTCTCTCTCATCGATCTTTCTAACTCTCTGTCCCTCTCTCTTCCTCTCTGTAAAAAATCAATAATATATATATAAATTCAACTTAAAACGCAAGTGCCTTTTAGGAAAACCTGTTCAAATGATAGTGTGAGAAACGAATGTCATTGTGAATTGCATCTTAGATAATATGTCCACCAAGTCCCTGAATAATGGCACAGGATGTGGCAATAAGGAAACATTCTCAAGTTGCTGGTTTGGAGGTTTCTAAGTCTGAGTAAGGTGCAGCCTTGGGGACAGCCCAGCTGCTCGCAGCACTTGGCCTTGGAGCCGTAGCAGTGGTCTGGGAGGATTAACCAAAGCCAGAAGTCCCAGCAGGCGTGACCTCAAGAGGGACCCTTCCCTCCTCCAACCGCCCCTTACAAAGAGCAGTTACCTCATCACCCTGTGGCAGTAACCTCTGAGGAGCCCACTGGCGCTCCCAGCCTCTGGCCCTGGCTTCAGAGCATCCGCAGAACCTGCCCTTCTGTTGTGGATGTGTATCTGGGATGCATGGGATAAATGACTCCCCTGGCTTAAGGGTTTTGTGTTTTGTGGGGGGAAGAGGGAGAGTTAGACATGGGTGTGGACAGGCAAGTGTGAGGGGGTCGGGGAGCTGGAACCTTGTTGGTCCTAGAAGTTATGTCAGTTGTGTGTTTCCATCTTAAACCACAGGGATAAGTGGGGGAAGTCATTTCAATGTTATCATAGAAAAGAAATATTAGGGAATGCTTTTTAAAAATATATACTTTTTTATTGATTGCAGAGATGGAGAGAGAGATGGAAACATCAGCGATGAGAGAAAATCATTTATTAGCTGCCTTCTATAAGCCCCACACTGCGGATCAAGCCCACAACCTGGGCATGTGCCCTTGACCTGAATTGAACCTGAGATCCTTCAGTCCACAGACAGATGCTCTCTCCACTAATCCAAACTGGCTGGGCCATTAGGGAATACTTTTTAAGTATCTCTTTACTCATGGAACCCTAGTGGTTCTTTTCTGATTATTATATTATTTATGTACATATGTCATCAAAACTTTAGAACCTTTTCCATCAGAGTTTGTGCCTTCATTAAGACATTTAAATCATGGGACTAGGTGAACATCAACCTTAAAAGGTTCCTTTATGGGTTGGTGCAATTTTAACCACTTGTCATTGTTCTATCCTGCCAGGTAATAGAAGAGGGAATGGTTTAACAGTTTGGATATTAAAGGTTTGACTTTTGTTCTTCCTTTTGTTTTCAAAGATACTGCTTTCCCTTTGGACGACCTGAAGGTGCTCTGAAAGCTACACTTTCCTTACTTGAAAGGGTATGTTTCAACATTATTTTACAAACACTGTTCATGCTGTCTCAGCTATCTAGGCAGACAGTCTCATTCCTCAGGAGTGTGCTCTCCTTGGAGTCCATTGTGTTTCACCAGCTTCTCATATTTCCTTGCCATCTTCAAAATTTCCCTATACCCCGCTTCTTCCTCCCAAAGCCATTCTGAAGCACACCTTGGCTTCATATGCTAAGTTAATGTCATCTTTTCTGTAATTTTCTATTTTTTCAATATTTTTTTCCTCCCGTCATGAAATAGGTGTGGTAGTTTTTTCAGTCAAATATAATGAACTGTTTTTCAGACTTCACAGTTGTCTCATCATTCCCCCCGGACTTATTTGTACTTCTACCTATCATAGTCCTCATACCTAAAGAGTTTATCATTTAATATTCACACACATATCCTTCTTTTTATTTTAAAATCATCTCAGAATTTATTTCAATTCAATCTGTGTATTGCTCTAAATGAATTCACGAATTGTAGAAATTCTTTTCCCCTCAAAAAATTAATAGCAAATAAGGTTTCATTCCATGCTGAAAATTTGTTTTTTAATGAAGGTATATTTCCACTTCTGGTTTTGTGATAGATTAGGTTTGAAAGGGAAGTATCCTTTTCATCTGTTTATAAAACTTTTCATATGCTCATTGGAAGCTAACGGGTAAGTGGGTGGCTAGTTCCTATTCCTTATCAGTGTGAAAAGACAATGTCTATGCCTTAGCTGGTTTGGCTCAGTGGACAAAGCATCAGCCTATGGATCCAAGAGTTCCGGGTTTGATTCCAGTCAAGGGCAGTACTTTGGTTGCAGGCTCCACCCCAATCTGGGCCCTGGTTGGAGTTAGTGCAGGAGACAACCAATCAATGTGTTTCTCTCACATCTATGTTTCTCTCTTTCTTTCCCTCTATCTTCCACTCTCCCTAAAAAAAAAAAAGAAAAAGAGAATATATAGGAGTCATCTGTGGCCCATTATTTGATCATTCTGATGCTGATTTATCAACTTCAAGTTCTTGTTCCTGTCCATTTTTCAATCCAGTGAACTCTAGATTGCATTGTTTATTAGCACCTCTATGAAAACCCCAAAGGGATTTTAGGGATTTAAAGGCTTGGGAGATGAGGGCTAGAATTAGTGGCTAAAATGAGCTCTTTCACATATAAATTTGTTTCATCTATTAATATATCCATATCTTATCCTTGATTACAGTGCATTGTGTGAAAGAAATATTATTGTAGGAATTATCTGTTTAATTAGAATTTTTATAATATTAAGAGCTGCATGCATCCCAAGCTTTTCAAAGGATATGTCTCATCCTATTCATTAAGGTACATGGATAAGATGAGATCCTAAAAGATAGCTTTACTTTTTGGAACCGCATCCCATCCTGGGTACCAGCCTCTCTGTGAGCTGGTTTCCATGGCAGAGCTCCCTCCAAAGCTCCCCACTCCCCGCAGGGCAGAGTTAGTGGTAGCAGTGATGCTCCATGCCCTGCACTGACAGGGGGCAGGATGGACAGTGACCTTTATTGCAGTTGTAGTCACTAATCATGTCTCTTGCTGAAGTGAGGGAGGAATGGTAAAAGCCTTATCTTCATTTTCATGTCTCTGTACTTACACCTTAGCAAAATAAAATAAGATCTACATGTGAATTTTTGATACTTAGTAAGAAATATTGCCTGGTTTCAACCCTGAACTCACCTCATTCTAATTTAACAGCTACTTATTTCTATTATTTAAAAGGTTGTTACCATGATAAGGCCTAGTGATAAAGTTTATGATTCTGCCTATGGTATAAAACTAATCTGGTATTCAAATTTCAGTAATAATCACATAAAAATAATAGTGCATGTTAATGCTTGTGCATTTTTTTTAACTAAAAGTAGAAAGATTTTTCTGACTATGAAGATTCTGATGTTCAGTTCAAAATAAAATGCAAGTATGTGTCTGTTTTAAAGATCAGTACTATGAGAGTATGATGAATAAATGACAGAGAGGAAGCTTTCAAATGATGGAGTTTGTTGTTTTCAAAAGGAAATTTTGGCTAACAAAATTAAAACATGTTGTCAGGATCACTAATGCTAGAAACACTGAATACATTTGAGATTATAAGATCCTTAGTGAGATTATAAAATCCTTGGATTATAAGATCCAAGACTATGGAAAGAGAAAGAAATAATGAATCAGGAAATGGGTGTTTTCATGTTCTATCATTATTTCTTTCCCAATAATAGACTAATAGGATAGATAGTAAGAACACTTAAGTATCTTCATCTTTATAGTAACATTTTGCTATATACTTTATAATTTGAATGTAAGCAGATCAGGATAAAGCCATTAACTTTATGAAAAATAGAGTTTGACCAAGAGTGTAATCAAAACTTATTGTGAGCAGTTTTATCACTAGGAAAGTTTTAAGGAAAGTTATCAGTCATTAAATGAGTGTTTAAGTACATTGTATTTTGAATCATGGATCTAACTGCATTCCCCCTTACTAATAGCAATATTTTTAAAGGGAAAAGCCCCAAAACACAAGTTAGGAACTCAACGGAGAATAATCAGTTTTTTCTAAATTAGAAAGTTTCCATGTCTTTCAACACTTGAAACTACATTTCACTGAGACAAAGAAGTTTTCTCCCTCCTGAGTAGATCATAGTAACTAAAGTTTAATTAATGAAAGCAGTAGTCTTGATTTTTATAGAGCACAAAAAATATGCTTTTTCTTAATGGAGTTTTGTTATTGTTCTTATCTATGTTGCTCAAAACATTGAAAGCTTTGAAATTAAGAGGCAGGGAGGACAAACTTTGTTTATTGCTTGTCCCAGTGATGGTAATCCTGATCTGAAACAGCTGCTCCAATGGTGTCAGGGGTCCCCGGGGGAGAGTGACAGTCACACTGAATGGTGGCTTGGCCTGTGGGAGGTTTTGATGTTCACAAATGAGGCTTCTGCAGGAGGAGCCAAGATTAGAGGATTACTTCCCAGTTGTGAAGTGTGGAGTAATTACTTCCCCTGTGTTACCTAGGACCCCTCCTACTATTACATAGTCAGGTCTAGAACAATTTGTATAATTTGTTTTTAGTATTTTATAAAATCAATCAATCAATCTCTCTCTTTCTCTCTTTCTCTCTCTCTCTCTCTCTCTCTTTCTCTCTCTCTCTCTTTTTCCTCACCAGGTTTTAATGAAAGATATTGCCACTCCCATACCAGCAGAAGAGGTGAAAAAAGTGGTCAGAAAATGTCTGGAGAAAGCTGCCTTGATCAATTACACTAGACTCACAGAATATGCCAAAATAGAAGGTCAGTGCAGTGAGCAATTGCCGAAGTGGCAGCGAGAGCCAACAATGCCTATTAACTGAATTTTCTGTGAGAAGCCCTTTCCTTTTCTGAACAAACCTGTGCCCTGGCAAAGGGAAATGTCTCATTAAAATCTCAGCTGGTGAACTGAAGAGCTTTTTCCTATTCATTGCTTTAATATGCCTCCTGGGACTCTGCTTGAATGAAAGACCCAGGATTCGTGCTTAAGTTGTCCTTTGTTCTTATTTTGAGTTTGCAAGGAACCAAGAGGTGTTTTCATGGGTTGTGTTTTTTGGCATTACTGTAAGTATGTCTAACATTTAAACTATGGATGCTGTATTCTTTCCTGATCAGTAACAGTGTAGCATTACATAACTTTATTTTCTGTACTGCAGTGTCACTCGGAGAAGGAGGAAACTTGTTGATTATCATGAGGGCAGAAATAAATGGATAGAATTACTTGCAACTTTTAATTGTTTGCAGTATATTGATGCATTGGAAGATTATATCTCTTGAGAGGACTGTGCATTTTTTCCCTCTTTCTTCAGGTTTTATTCATTAAGGAACTGTCGTGTAAGATGTTTAGGAATAAGTAGGTTGAAATTTGTGACCAAGTCACACAAGCAGTTTTTATTCAACAGTCCTTTGATATAATTAAAAGTAGTAGAAAGGACCTTCAATTTTCCACTCTGATTATAAAACTAGCTTGTTCCACACATGTACCATTTACTTAGGGAAGGAAAAAGCTTGCAATGTCAAATATTTGTGTCTAACTATAAAAATTAAATCATTAGAAAAAAAAATTTAGTCACTTTTAATATAAAGTTTTACGTGATGAATTATAAATGCATTAATGAGATACTGTTATAATAGTTTAATCAAAATGGTGACAATGGAAAAGATGACTATAATTGGCGGTGTTATATCCTTTCTTCTCTCCAAATCTGATCAAGCTTTCTAACGAGCATGTGATAACCAACCTCCTGAGTGATTAACAAAAAAGCCATCCCATCACTATAGCAACCAATATTATATCACGAGAGGAACAACATGAAACCTCCTTAGTTACCAGTTTAACATCATTAATTATGATATCATGTTGTGTTAAAGCACAAGCAATGAATATTAGATCATTTGGGGAAAGTGGAAGATAAACAGATTGGTTTTCACATTTTGAATACTCGTTCGGTTTTCATGTTTTGGGAATAATGGGTGTTGCATACACGGATTGAAAGAATTAATATAAAAGTAGACATATTAAAACCTTTCAAATCTGGCAATGAGAAAATGTGGACAACCTGAATAAATGCAGTACTGCTTTATCTAAATATCATGAATCCTCTCCAAAAAAAAAAAAAAAAAAAGATGAAAATCTTTTTTTTAATGTATCTTTATTGTTGAAAGTATTATAAATGTCCCACTTTTCCCCCCATTGCACCCCTCCATCTCACACCTGCACCCCCAGGCCTTCACCATACTATTGCCAGTCCCCAACACACACACACACACACACACACACACACACACACACACACACGCCTTCCCTCTGAGATTTGTCAATCTGTTCCATGCTTCTGTTGGTCTGGATCTATTTTATTATTTTTATTCTTAACTGTCTATTTCAGTTCATTAGCTTGACCATTACCTAATTCTTTCTGGAACTTTCCCTTCCCTATCTGAGACTCTTCTAGAAAATGGATCCTAGAAATCTAGTCAGGTTGGTCTACTGAGCAGTCTCCTAAAAAAAAAAAAAAAAAAAAAAAAAAAAAAAAAAGGCATACTTATTGGATGAGAAAAACTTCTATGCGTTTTATTATCTCCCTCCTCCCTTTGTTTTGTATCTAAGAATAAAGAGCTTTTCTTTTATGCTTAGGATCAGACTAAGAACAAAGTCACATCTCAGTTGGTGGGAAGTGGGCTGCTTTTCTTGGCTGGATGGACCTACTGTCTTATCGGAGCAGCAGGGGTAGAGTTTCCTTCTCTCCTAAACTGTCTTTTCTTATGTTCTAGGCCCAGCGGAAAAGGAAACAGGTAACCGATGCCTGTGCATGCCCGTGTTCTCTAATGGTGCATGCTATGGGGCTGCTGTGTTGTGATGTCATGAGTAGACCTTTCCTTTTCAGGGCTCCACTGGGATCACTTTAAGATGGTGAAGGAAACTTGGGTTTTATCAGAACTGTGGCGAACGAATGCTTTGTAGGGAAATGTACAGGCCATTTATCTCTGTAAAAGTTCAGCGCCTGTTTCTGAAATGAATCCAGAGCAAAGCACCTGAGGCTGTGTTAATGGGATGCGTTACTTTTTAAGCATAGACACTAATCTTATTTGCCAGTATCTGAAGGGCTCTTTCAACCAGAAAAGAGAACCATCTTTCCTTTAGCACCAATGCTGTTAAATAAAAAGGAAGCAACTAATCATAGGGAGGAGCAGAGGTTATGAAATCCCATCTCAAGAAATTGCTGGGAGAAAGTCGATTTTGAAAGGTTTTGTTACTTTTTTCTAGTGTCACTTATCACAGTCGCAACTTTTATGTTTGAATATTTTTATTTATTGACTCAGAGAAAGAGGGGGTAATGGAGAAATAGAGAGGAGGGAGGAAGAGAAACATTGATTTGTTGTTTCTTTTGTTTATGCGTTGATTGGTTGACTCTTGTATGTGCCCTGACTGCAGTTTGAAGCCACAACCTTGACACAATCAGGACAACACTCCAACCAACTGTGCTGTTCAGCCAGGGCTGGAGTTATTTTAGTTTCATTTGCTGTTACCTATTTATCCTGCCCATCTCCTCTCCAGCCTCATGAAGGCAGGGTCCTGACTGAACTTGTATTCCCAAGTCACTGTTGTATCCCCAGCACCCAGGACTGTGCCACTGCCATGAAGCAGGTACTGGATACTCTGGAGAGAGACAAGAAGTTAGTTTCATCTGAAAACTGGAGAGAAAGTGATGAGTGAACCTTTCCAGTCGCAGTTTGCTTATTTTATCAAATTTTGCATGCAGTGTTATAGACAAGTTTGCTTGGGTTGTTTTTAATTGAAGTCTTCTATTAAGGCTTTGTTTCTTTTTCCTTTTTTCCCTACATTTTCCTTTTTTTTTTTTTTCTTTTTTCTTTTCTATTTTTCTAAAGTATTTGACCCCTGCAAGAGTCAGGAACAAAACACTCGGAGCCAGAAAAAGGGAAGAGAACCCACCTATCATGGTCGCTAAGGGCGCTTTAGAAAAAAATGAATCAGGAAAAAGGAATGAGACTGCCAGTGCCTTTCAGGGCAGCCCATTGTGACAGCAACTGGCCAACGCTCTTTAACAAACTTTTTCAAAGCCTCTCCTGGCACTTTATCCCCCACAGCCTTGTTGTGGTGAACACGGTTTTTATAGTTTGCACACAGCCGTCCAGAGTCGTCAGTGGCCCTCCCACTGCCAGAGAGTAAATAAGGAGTCCCCCTGGGAGGAGAGCCTGGTGTCCTGATCCCTCGCCTCCAGGGCTCCGCTCCTTCCCCTGTGAAATAGGAAGGGGCGGGGAGGGGGTCACAGTGCACCTTCAGGAAGGATGGGGCGCAGACTGCTGCCCTGTTCCCGTTAAACAGCCCAGGAAAGGACATGTGCTGCCGTCCCCTCTTACCTCTCTGCCACCAGACAGAAGCCTTTCCTTCACATGCATTGAGCATCCACGCCTCTGCTCAACTAGACAGCCTGACAGGAGGAAAAGGGCCTTTTAAAAATTAAATGCTTGCATAGAGAAGAGGGGGAAAGAATGAGAGAAGTCTCGGTAATTTAAGTGGATGGAACAGAAAGCTAATCTCAAGTGAAGAATGTTCTGAAGTAACACAAGAGAGGTTTTTAAGAAATGTAGTTCTGTTCCTTCAGTTGCATTTGGTTGTGAGTTAACAGGGTTACTTAGAAATGCTGTTAGGGTGCTTAGGAAAGTGAGTAAAAATGAGGATATCAGTTGAATGTGTGAGAGTGCAAATGCTGGATAAGACTTTCAAACAGCACTCTCTAGGGCATTATAATCATTATCCATTGTTAGTTTGTAGAAAAGAGTAAAATTCTGCCCAAGACTTGTCATCATGTTCTCTATCCACTGCCTATTGCTCCAAAGTTGTTGTTTTTTTTTAATTTACATTGTGTCAGTAGTTCCTTAAACAACTCTTCAAACTAAAAACCAGCTATAATAAAAACACTCAAATATCCAAACACTTGGAGGCAAAATAGGATGTTATTAAATAATGAATGGGTTACCAATGACATCAAGGAATAAATTTAAAACTTCCTGGAAACGAATGAAAATGAATACACAACAACCCAAAATCTATGGGACACAGTAAAAGCACTCCTGAGAAGTTCATAGCACTACAAGGCCTACTTTAAGAAATAAGAAAAATCTCTAATAAACTATCCAAACCTAAAACTAAAAGAATTAGAAAGAGAATAAGAAAATCTCAGGGGAAGTAGAAGGAAGGAGATAATAAAGATCAGAGTGGAAATAAATGACAGAGTCTAAGAGAAAAAAATGCAAAAGCTGGTTCTTTGAAAAGATAAATATGATTGAATAACCTCTAGCTAAACTCATTAAGAAAAAAAGAGAGAACCCAAATAAATTAGAAACAAAAGTGGTGAGGTAACAACTGACAACATAGAAATACAAAGGATTGTAAGAAAATATTACAACTATATGCCATCAAAGTGGGCAACCTGGGAAAAATGGGCAAATTCCTAGGGACATACAATCTTCCAAAACTGAATCAGGAAGAATCAGAAAACCTTAATCGACCAATATTAACTAATGAAATTGAAGTAATAATAAAAAAAAAACTTCCAGCCAGCCAAAGTCCTTCACATATGAGTTTTACCAAACATTCAAAGAACTAGCACCTATACTCCTCAAACTCTGCCCAAAAATTTAAGTAAAGGAAATGCTTCTAAGCTCTTTTTATGAGGCCAATGTTATCCTAATCCCAAAACAAGATAAACAGACTACAAGGAAAGAAAATTACCAACCAGTAT